AGCTGTGCTTAAGCTGGCAGGGGCTCTCGTGTGCCTGGGACACCACACTGGGACTTGACAAGGTCCAGCCTAAACTCCTGGCTCTGCCAACAGGCTTGCTTAGCTAAACCCTTGCAGCCCAGTTACTGCACTTAGCCAGGTGTTGCCTGCTTTAATATACAGTCAGCAATTCTTCCCTGTCCATCCCACAGGGATGTCTGCATCACGAAGATGCTGCAGCAGTTGTCCTCGGGTAAGGATGGGAGCTGATCAAACGCAGCAGGCAGTAAAATGCACTGTAAGGTCCGAGAGTTCAGCAGAGTCACCCGGGTCCCACAAAACATCTGACGGTGAGAGCACAGCTCTGGGCTGCAGGAGGGGGACGTGACAGCTCCCTGATGCCCCATTTGATACACACAGAGGAGCAAAAGTGACTGCGGAATACCGTATCAGCAACACACCCAAAAAGGGCTGCTTTCCTCCACACATTCCTGCTCTTCAATGAAGATAGGTCACACCATGAAGATGCCTGCACAGAGCCTGCCCCCCTCACAACCCATTTCCTCAGCTGACAAGAAGCAGACGTGAGGTTTTATCTCCTCAGCGGGCTGGTGTGGAGGGAGGCTGGCGGCTGTGGGGACACGTCTGCACCCAGGTCAGCCCTGCTCCGCAGGTTTTATCTCCATCCACTCCGGGGCTGTGCACCTTTCAACACCCTCAGTGTCAAATGACTTCATGCCCTCAAGTGCCATAAACTTCTACAACCACAGTAGCTCACAGATGGGTATGGATGGTTATAAAATCACATCCTAAATTAGGACAGCAAGAAGCTGAGATTGGAAGAGTAGGAGGAAGTCAGGAAATCCCAGGAGATGATGGTGGGGGAGGGATTTGGTCTCTTTAGAAAACAATAATGCAGTTTAATCTATTTTTCTTTTGACTTTACACACTAAAATAAGCTTCTCAGCTTCTGGGGCTGTCAAAAATCATAAGGAAAATAAGGCCACTGGAACCCCATCAGTAGCATAAGAGCCATATAGTAATAATCCTGAGGAGCTGTACAGGGCTTTCCATCTTCAAAGTGTTTTAGAGACAGTAATTTGTTAATCTGCAAATTTCCCCTGGCCAAAAGCAACTGTTCTGCCTCTCTGCTAAGCGTGAGAGAGACACACACTGCAGTTCAGCACTCGGGAGAAACAGTGCAGGCAGTGGCTCTGACCTCTGGAGCCAGACCTCTGTTTCTTTCTCACTGCAGCCAGAACTCCACTGCTCCAGCCACCACCTGAAGCATTGGTGCATCTGGCACTTCGGAGACAACTTCAAAGCAGACAAAACCAAAGTAGCTGAAAGCCTCTGATATGGGTGAGTGTAAATAGACATGTTCACAATCCAGCAAGTAACAGCAAAGCCTGAAATAAAGCTCCCAGGAGAGAAGCTCCTGGCTGCCTTCCAGCCACTACCTGCCACGCTGGGGTATCATTCTGGCCCAGTCCTGGGCTCATCCTACCACACAGCCTGTCTGATAGCCCCCAAGGGAGCTACAGAGGCATTTCCTATGCAAACATGATGATTCCCCCCACCAAAAGGCTACTTATGCACAGCAGGTACCTGCTCACACTACATGGGTCTGTTAGATAATCAGCATGAGGCTGCTCCTCCTCTCCTGGCAGCAATATTCTTCTGCTTTTGCAATTCCCTAAAACAGTACTCCCAACCATGGTCATCACCATGGCAAAAGCTCAGAACTCACCCTGCAAAATCTCAGAACTCTTGGAGGGTGGGAGAGAAGCCTAGTTATCAGAGAGAAAAAAAAATGGAATAAGAAGCACAATTTCAGCTACATCTTATAAATAAGTTGATATCTAACACTGACCAGCTCTGTTCAGAAATAAGAAGATAACATTATTCTGTATTCATACTAGCTGTTATGTTCTTTGTCCACCTGGTTTTTCATCTCTTTTAAGCCAGAGTATATTTATATGACTACAGTAGTGCCAAAGAAACTATTGTATGACCAGACCCGGGTCCATTGGTTTTTGTTATCCTTCCCTGGCTGAACATCTGGGTTCATTAAGCACCCTACAACATGAGTTCCATCTTAAGGATGGCTTAGCTAGGCAAGGAAAGCAGAAGACCTTGAATACCACTGCAAACACTGACCCAAAGGTCACGAGTGAGGAATTTAAACCCAGGCACTGCAGATCGTGTATATTCTCAACACTAGGGAAGGATTTGCCCACGCATTCAGCATGAGCGAATAGAAGATTCAGGCACCAATTCAGTCTCAGGCTCTACATCTTTTACTCTACACTACTCAGATCACATTTCTTCCCTTGTACAGCTTGCACCTCCCTTTCAGCAACTGATTTTGTTTCAGCACCAGCCTCCATACGCAGCAGAAACAGCAGAGCCCAGAGAACAGATGTTTAGTGCCAGAGTGCTGTAGGCAAAATCTGGAGGGGAAATAAAGTTTGTGGGTTTGTCTCTCCAGTAGGAAGTAGGGTGAAGCATAATGCTAAAGCTTTCTGATGCACTGCCAGAGAGACTGACAGCCATAGTGGCTTAACTGGATGGAAAGGCCACTTGCAGCCAGAGCAGTGCTGGTATTTTAGAGCTGAAATTTAGCAAGTGTTGATTCCTCACCTCTCCTCTGAAAGCTCACAGAGCTTGGGACTCAGCAGAGCTGGTACCCCTGGCTTGGGCAGTCCCTGGTCAGTATTATAACTATTGCTGACAAGACTGCTCCACTGGGAAGGATGGCAGAGGCAGGAAAAGCGGCAGCAAACCACAACAAGACTCCTGTCCCTGCCTCCAGCCTTCCTCAGTCCAGCCTGGGTTGGAGAGAGAGCTGGTCCAAACAACACAGCATTACATGACTTAACAGTCAAAGCACAGAAAAGGACTCAGCTGGAATGACAAATCCCTACCAAATCACACATGTTAAATATACCAGGAGACAGTTTCCCCAGTGAGAGCTACCCATCCCCATGGTGCTGCCTGATATTAGGTGACCACCAGGGCAGCAGTAGACTGTGCACAGCCCTTCTGCATTCACTCCAGATAAGCTCAGCTCTGCTCCCCCCACCTACATGCCCTGCGTCAAGAAGGAAAAGTGAACCAAAATGCTTTAACATTTCCAGAACAAGGCCAGTCTCCCATACTGTTCTGTATTTGTGACTTTGCAAGGGTGAAACTTGAGCTCCAGTCTCCTTTTGGTGCCAGTCCCAGGAAACCCTGCAGTGCAACAGAGGGCTGCACAGAAGGCTGCCCCTCCATTCAAGTACAAACAGCCATCCAAGCCCATCATGAATCACAAAGGACATTCTGACAGCCCAAACTGGTTTATGAAGTCCATGGCACAAAAAGGAAGCTTTGGACTGAAAAGTGTGTCTGACACCCGCAGACGGTCAGGAAATTAAATGCATACACTGCAGTGGATTTGCAGAAGTGTATTTTAACTGATCACGTGTCTCATGTATCACCCCCTGACTTAAAGTCTTGCTGGACTCTACAAGGGTTCTGGCCACCCTGAACAGCAAAACTCTGCTAGAGAAATATTTAAGAAGTACTAAATGCCCTGCAGAAATGCATAGAGGGTTCTGGTTCTGTCAGATCAATTGGCACAAGCCTGTGTGACCCAAATGCCAGGGTGCTCATTTCACCTGACTGAAATCAGCTTCTTCCCAGCCGACTGCGTCAGCTCTTAGAGCTGCTCTAACACTTCCTGGGCAATCCTGATTCAATTGCACCTACCTCCCATTTCTGCAAAAACCCAAGATGACTGCACGTGGGGTGTTGTAATGCTGTCTCAGCAGAAGGAGGATGTTGCGTTGGTGGAGAGCAGAACAGCTCGTCCAGAAGCACAAGCAAAGCAGGGATTTTCCCAGCAAGCAGCTGAGATCCATGTTGCTGGGTCCCTCCTTCCCAACGCACTCCTACTACCTAGGGCTTAGTGGAGGAGACCTAGGCCATGTATTCTTTCTCCTTTGCTCACCACTTCCACCCAGCCCCTGTTAGCCAGGACGGGACATCCCCCACTAAAGATCACAGCCTACTGTGAGTGCCTGCAGCCCTTGGGCAGCCCAGGGAGAAAAACCTCCCAGGCTTCAGCCTCTGCATGAACACTGCACTGAGATGAACCTTGCTGAAGTGCACGTTGTGGATCTGGCCCACAATAATTCAGTGTGGTCCAAGAGAGAATGACAGAAGAGCTGTTCATCTGCTCCGGGTATATTGTAACTGCTTGCTTGCCAGCATTGCAGAGGGACAAAAGTTCACGGGCAGACTCATCAAATCCCTGCACAGGCCTTATTTCTGAACATTTCCCCCCCATAAAACCAGCTCCTGTTCTTTCCTCCCTCCCCCCTTCCACTTGCCTCCTGCAAATCATGCTGTCTCCTTCCACCCCCAAATAGGAAGTCCGGAGCCGAGACATGCACAATCTGCCTCTTCACAAGAGCTGGGCTGAACGAGTGCCAGAGGAGCTGCGAGCATGACAACATATTTCCTGTCAGGAAAGTGACTCAGTGAGATGGGTATCTGAGCTCCTCTTACTCTAGAAGTTCCCCTCTCCCCTTGCATTGCTGAGGCATGAGTCAGAATTGGAGAGCTGAATCTCAGTCCCCTCCAGATCCAACCAGGGATAGCAGAGGTCAGGTTCAAGCCTGGGTCCTTCCTGCAATTCAGTGATAAGGCAGCTCCATGGGCCAAGCCCTGGATTCACCCCTCACAGAAGGGCAATAATGATACTGACAAAGGGGACACTTTGAGTTTGCAAAGCACTTTTAGGTCGAGGTGCTCTTGCTATTTGCTCATGCACCTGCTCACACCACACTGGTTGTCTCTACACAGGGCATTGTACAACAGCCCCCCTAGAACTAACACTGTGCTCATGCATTTTACTAAAGTATTTTACACACAACCATTTAGTCCAGAAATACTGTGAATGCTCAAAACTCGCTGGAGACAGTTTGCTTCTATGCACAGTAAGTGAGTGAGTCCATCACATGCCACATCCTTACCTGAGCCTCTGCTGAGGGTGACCATGGACAGCCAGAGTGAAACCAGCAGGACACTGACCATCTTCATCCTGGTAGACAAAGCACACAGACCTGGTTATTTAACACTGCTTTATCACTGCAGGCCATTTTTAAACTCTGAGTAAATGTGCTTATACCTCCATCAACCTAGTGACCCTTTAATTCTGGGACATGCTTGTTTTATTTCATTAAGATTCCTTAAGAACAGCACCCTCATGTCAGCATCACTCCTCCTGCAGGCAGCTTGCCAAGCCTGGAGGTGATGGCTCTGAAGAGGACAGCCCAGCTCATTGACTCGACTCACCGAAATAGAGCGTATCAGGGAGCACAAGGAGTCAAATGGAGGCTACAAATCATGAGTTTTTATTCCCAAAAGAAGGTCCTTTGCCAAGACCTCCTTCTGCTCATCTCTAACAAGTGCAGAGAGCACTCGCGGCGGCTGCGGCACATCGAACATGTGTTCGACACTTTGACGGGACAGCCACACCAGAGCAATCCGAACTGGCAAGGTCTGCTGCCAGTGACCTGCAAAGGGGCCAGCTGCCTGCTTCAGCCTGCTCCTGAAGGCACTGGGGGCAAGACACGGCCTCACCAGCTCTTCCCAGTCAAACCCGCCTTGGAACTCGCAGGAGGTAAACAAGCGCCAGGTTTGTACACTTTTTAGAAATGATCTAAACAAAGGCTTAGACTTTCTAAGCAGCAGTGATAAGCAAAAAACAATCCCAAACTTTTCCATTCCTGCTACAGAACACAATTTCCTGCAATTTGAGATAAATGTACACTGCCAGAGTTTCACTGGCTGCCCGCTCCAGTATCTGGCATTCGGCTCTCAGAGCTGCTCACTCACTGGAATTAAATTTCCCTCTGTTTCTAGTTTTTTCAGGACGCAATTTATAAGCTGGTAGTCATGAAAACTGACATCTACTAGATGCTTTCATTAAAGGGGTTAAGGTCACATTTGATATTCCTGGGTGCTGTCAGATCACAAAGGGAGAAGAGATGGTTAAAAGGCTGAACTCCATCAAAGCATCTCAGCTCTGCCAGGCAGATGCAGTAATGAGCACGGTGATACTGTCAGGAATGTGCTCATGAGAAGACAGAGAAACCTGCTCCATCAGGGTGCACTGAAAGTGTGGGGGGAGAAGCCACAGAGCTCCCTTAAACATGTCCCTAAAAAACCTGTCCAGAATATATGCAGTACACAGAAGGGCATTGTGCATTAGCAGAGAACACCTAAGATTATACAGATTGCAGAGATTAACAAGAATGCAACACGTGAACTGCACTACTCAAAACCCAGCAGCGGATATTGAATCCTTCCTTTTCAGAGCTTACATCTGAAAAGCCTTTGTGCGATGCCTTCCCTCTGCTGGGCACATCTCAAAGAGACAAAGAAAATCTGAAGCATGCCTGTTCTTCCCAGCACAGTCCATGGAAAGGGCTGCACACTGCCTCTGAAGCCATCAGGCTTTCAAAAATGGTCAAGAAGCAAGGAAGAAAGTAAGGGTTTTTTTCCCACAGGGCCCAGCTGAGAGGACTGATCATCCCCTACCTATCACCTTCCTCCAAATTGAAATGCCAGCTGCTTATCAAACCCCTCTCTATTGCCACCTACAACCAGCTCCCAATGTTACTTAAGATTCCATAGGGAAGAAACAACATTAAGTACTCCTACCCCTTGGAAATGCTGAAGAAAGATAAAACATCTTTATGCCATTAGACTGAACAGAGAGATTCAACATGCCACACTTCTGGTAGGAATTTAGGAACTTTTGGTAATTGAGATGCTTGAAGAGAGGGGGCGTAAATAGTGGCGGGGAATCATTCCCATAATAAAGATCCCTCATGGTTCCCTCTCCATTTGTCATTAGCTAAATGCACAGCGTGTCCTAACTCACCCTTATTTTCCAGTGACTCTCTCCTGCATTTCGCACAAATCAGACTGAATTCAGCCCTGAAGCAAGCAGGAACAACTACGGACTTTGGATGAGTTTTCCTTGTATTGAGCAAGGCCATTTGTGTGGCCTGAGGCCAAAATAAACTACAACATTTCACTCGGTGATACATGAACTCTGCAGCGAGCTAATATTTACATCCATTAGCTATGCTCACAGGAACATGCTCCTTTCAACTGCCTCACAGAGCCACCAGGTCTCTGCTCCCATGAGCAAGGTATCCAAGATTTCCATGCTCTGCCTACTAGTAGGAAAATCCTTTTTTCCTTGCTCTACCTAGCTATAAAATCAGAAGCCTTACACATAGAGTGATTTACTTCTGGTTCATTCCAGGCTTTCCAGAGATCTTATCAGTGGAGACAGACAGACACAGAGCCTGTCAGATTACAGCAATTTCTCCATTACAGAGACACAGGGACGCAGTTGACCACAGCCCTGGCTGCTCCCACTCTACACAAAATGCAAGGGGCCATGGAAGGGACACGCACAGAGCCAAGGGCTGGTCAAGGGGAAGCATCACAACTTCCTGGATGCCCTGACCACGCCAGCATTTGCCAGCCCAGCTCCATTCCTATGGCACACAATTACTAAAAAAAAAACCCCAAAACCAAGTAGCCCCAAACCTGTGATATCCCCCAAAGAGAAAGGTCTTCCCACAGCAGCCCTGTGGTGACACAGAAGAGAACTGCATCCCATTGCAGAGAGGGGTGGGTTTTGCAATGTCCTTAAGAACTGGACACCACAGGACTACAACCCACCCTGGTCATGCCGGGAAACAGAAGTTTTCTCAACCTTTCCCAGCAATGTGATTCTGTGTTTTGTGACAGGACAGAGCATGTCACCATTTTTCCTGGCTGTGATGCAACTCCAGTGGCGTCGGATGAACTTGCACAATTCTGTAGAACTGCACCAAAACACCAGTTTATGTGGCTGCAGCCAAAGGAGCCAGAGGCCAGGGAGTGCAAACCCAGGCTGCAGCACGGGGCTTCACCCAGCTGCATCCACCCAGTGCAAATAAAAATAAAAGGAAATGCTAAAGGGAGCCAGGAATAAAATCAGTGAGCAGGAGAGCTTACCAGCTCAGAAATCATACTGCAGCTAGAAAGCAGCCAGAAGGTAGCTGGAGAGCTCTGATACATCCTCAGCACTCCAGGAACTTCTCACGAGGCCAATATACTCTGAGGTGTTCTTAATGTCTCCATAAATTAACATTTTAATAATAATTCATAGAGCGGTTAGGGAAAATGATCCATCACAGCCCTTGCTAGAATTTTTTTTAAGGAACTTATCTTGAAATGTTCACTTTGTTTTTAATCAGAAATTGTTCCCTTTTCCTTCCTGAGCACTTTTTTCTTCAAACTTTCACCTTCTGTCTACTGAGGAGCAAAGAAAAGTGGGGTGGGGGGAAGCACAGTCATGGAAGTGTCTCATGCTTTTAATATCAAAGAGGGTGGAAAGGTTTGATTTTTTCATTTCATACTGGTCACAAGTGGCCTTTATGTCAGAAAATAACATGAATATTTTTATATAAAACATCTTCTAATAAAACATTCTTGTCAAACAGACTTCAGCAAGACATCATTCCCTCCTGCCTTTAGCAGCATGGACCCTGCAAAGCCCATGCACTCTCCAAACAATTATGAAACCAAAGACAGAAGTCAAGTAACTAACGAAGAGAACTGCACTCAAAGTAACTACTGCACACCTATTCTCAAAGACACTCTACCAATTCTACAGAACAATGCTGCATTTTCCAAGACAAATGCCTTTGTCCCTCCTAACCACAGGCCTCTAGGGAGAGCTGATAGGTTTTCTGCTTTTCACTGAGAAGTCACACTTCGGCCTGCAGAACAAAAGCACCCTTCAGAACCTTGCCACTAAGTGCTCCGACTGAAAGGGAATATAAAATAAAGCAGTTTCTGAAAAAAGTTATTAAATAATTTCAGCCAAAGTAGGTTTTTCATACTGTTTTCTATCTGTAATTCTGTCCCAACTCAAGAGCATTTGAGAGCCCCCAAACAGACAGCAGGAAGGCTGTCAAAATCCGGAGTGGGCTAGCTTAGGAAATGCCTTGGTTCTGTGCCACATGGACTCGGAAACGAAGGTTGATTGATGGGCTGCAGAGCAGAGCTGGTGCTCAAGAAAGGGGCACGGCTCTCTGCTCCCAGTCACAGCGTGCCCACAAGCCCTGGCTCCCTGCATCATCACCCAGCAGCACCGGAGAAGGCTGCTCGATGAGTTTGCTGCGTTTTCTTATGGAAAAAAATAAATGCATACTTCAAGTAAATTCAAAGAATCCAAAAGGCAGACAAAGGGCAGCCTGAAAAAGCAGCTGCAGAAAAGTAACAGCAAAAACACTAATGGAAAATGGGAAAAGGCCCTTCAGCCCTCCAGGAAACACTTTTGCTTTTCAGTATGTGCAGAAGTCAGACAAAAGGTGGAATTACTGTAGCATAAACCATCTTGGTGCCATTTAGCCAGGGTTTGTGCAGTGTCTCTGACCCCACGTCTCCTCCAGAGGCCACGTGGGCACTGCCTGGCACTGCCCTTTGCTGTGGTGCCCAAGGTCCCCCCTCTGTCCTGCCCACAGGGGAGCCCCTTCTGCAGAGAACTGGTCAGTCCCAGGGACAGCCCTCCAGAGAAACTGAATGTGACACCTGGGCAGAAAGACAGGCCACGGGTTTTGGAAGTCCAGCTTTTACCCTGCAGGAGGAATAACCACACTCATTACAATTTTCATCCCCAGATGGCCCCCAGGAGCAGAGCAGGGAGGAGGAATCCAGCAGCAGTTTGATGATGAGCACCAAAAGCAGCTCGCAGCACTTTGCCTGCTCTCGTGCATGCTACGCCACACTCATCACTTCAAACACAGGCACATTGACCAGAGGGCCCCCAATGCTGTCCTCAGAAAAAACATTCACATCTCTCCTGAGGGCAGGGAGCCCGATTTGTCTTGGCAGCAGCTCCCAAACAGCCAGGCGCATTTCAGCAGGAATCAAGCAGAGCTGAAGCCTGCCCTGCAATCAGGGATATGACAGAAGCCATAGGTGTGACCCAGTCACTGCATCCACTGGTGACACATCTAAGGCAGGGACCTGCAGAATCGATGCTGGAGTCCTACCTGTGCCAGGGTAGCTGCACTCACCAGGCCATAGCATGCCTGACAGCAGAGCGGGCTGAAAGAAATTTGTTCTGAAATGTTTCTATTACAAAAGTCATTTATGTCATCAGAACCAAAGGAAATGCTGAAATTTGAGCAGCCTGAAAGCTTTTCACTAGCTAGAATCACAGCAGACATTACACACCTGCTTTTGCAGAGGGGAAAAAAAATAAACTAGTGGGAGTCAGATGGAAAGTTGCCCTGGTGAGAGGCATCTCCTGTCACCAGCACAAAGGATTTTCTGCCTTGCCTGGCCAGACGTGGCCATTGGCACACAGCTTTACACCCAGGGCTACTGAGTACACTGAAGGGAAAGAATACCAAACCAAAACCAAACATACAAGAAAATCTGTAAATAGTATTCTTAACCAGCGGCTCAGCCAGCTCACTGCCAGCCAAGGACATGACACCAGGCATCCAAGGTGCTCCATTTGCCTGTCCCCCACCACGGCCCCTCCCTGGCTTCCTGCCTGCACATCCAGGCCAAGGACTGCGGCCTGATGGCTTTTTAATAATGACATTTTACAAAATCCCCAACAAGGGGATGAACAAGCACAGCAGTGTGATGCTCCAGAGTCACTATGGGAGGTGATCCCAAGCTATTTCTCCTTCAACGGAGCAGCACAAACTGCAGAAGCAACGCTGCCCTTCCAAGAGCTCCCGAGGGCAGAGCTGGGAGCAGCCTCCCCTCAAGCTCAGAGGCTCGGGAAAAAGTGTGGAGACTTTCATTCACAGTGAGTCATTCCTGGGAGCTTCCTTGGTAGTGCAAAATTTACCTGTGCCAGTGCCAATGTTTGGGAAATGAAGGAGAGATTTCCAGGCAGGGAATTTGTGATTTGATATTGGCATTTAGATACCCATCTCCTGGCACTCTTTTGGCTTAGCAGATTTAATGCTAACAATGAGAATTCAGAGGAAGACGCTTTTTTTCTTCCTCTCAAAAGAAAAAGTACAATCTAAACATGGGGAGAGAAGTGGAGCAGCGGGCTTGAAAATGTACCTGAAGAAATTTGGAATCCCTTGCTTCCCTTTGCAGTTCTCCTGGGGTCCTCTCAGGAGCTGGAAAAGCAGAAATGCTACAGATCTTGCACACTGCTCTGCTGGAGTCCAGGGTGCCACTGATAATACTCTGCCACCAATTTAGCAGGCAGAACACACTACATTTCATACATCCAAAATAAACGAGCTCTCTGTCACCTCTACAAAATATGCACACCTGGCCAAGTCAAACAAGCAGCTGGGACTATTGCCTAGAGATCTGTGGAGTGGGCTGGAGAGGGGCAAGTAGAGCCACAGCTATAAAATCAAACAGCACGGATTACAAATGGATCCACGCTGGCCACTGAGCAGTTCAACCATAAGCTACAAGAGCCCTTCTGTGCTCAAGCAAAAGGTATCCAGCTAAGACAGTCTATTTTTTATGTGTGAATAGCCAGGGAATGAAAAGTTTCCAGCCGTGCTTCAAAGAGAGCTGAGATCGTCCATGAAGCCCGACACAATGCTTCTATTTTGGACAGCTATGTTACAGTGAAGGGAGAGTTCTGAGAAACATGCACGTATTGTGCTACCGCAAAATAAACGGAGAAACTAATCTTTGCACAGAAAAATAGAAACCTGTAATCAGTGTGGCTCAAAGACCTGAGAAGATTCAAGAAATCCGAAGTGAGATTCCCCCCTTCACTGGAAAAGTTCCAATTAAGTGTCATGGAACACTTGGAGACATCTGACAACAAGCATTTAATTTATACATTCAATCTGCTGACCTTTTTAATGGTTTTACAATGTAAGCAGCTCCAGTACCCTCCCTAGGAGGTTGTTCCACTGCCCCAGTGGACATAGCAACACATCCACACTGTGCAACAGATTGCACAGCAGCAGCCCCAAGCTAGCTCAGCACAAGTCTCTAAATCCAGAGGATACAACGCAGACTTGAGCAGGTTTTCAGATGGGCTTAATGCCTTTTTCAGGACAGGCTCAGGACTCTCAAACTCCAGAGCAGCTTTCCCAGGAGGCATCTCCTTGCAAGCCCAGCCTGGTCCAACCAGTGCCCTGCAGCCCCACTGCACATCTCCCCTGCCACACCAGGGGCTGCACCCAGCCCTGCTCAGCATCACCTGCAGTAGGCTCTCAGTGTCAAAAACACTCCAAGAGTTTCTTAAGTTCAAGCCCTTGCTGGCAGCTGCATACCTGTTCCTTCATCTCCTCCCCTCACAGCACTAAGTGCTTGAGGACCAGATTCTCAGGATGGCTGCTCTATATTCAGACAATATCTTTCCCTTCTTGTTCCTCCAGAGAGGAACACAACAGGCAAAAATCCTCCAACCACCACCATACTCCAGAGCACATCATCACTGTCTCTCACTTCCCAAGAATCTGCCTTCTTGTGGTGCCACAAATTCCTCAAACAACTGCAATGTCTCCAGCATCACTATCAGGTTTACCCATGCTGCTGCCAGTGGGGAAGCCCCAGCTCTTCCTGAGGCGTAAGAGAACGATTTCCTCAAGTGACTCTGGGTATCCTGGGAAGAGCAACATATTCAAGGGTAAAAGCAAGTCAGATTAATTTTTCTTTTTCAAGTTTGGGCCACACAGCATTTTCACACCTAGTACTTATATTAATCACGTTAATTTAATCCCATTTAACCTTATAAGTAAAAGCAAACAAGAATAAGACATCAAGATGCTTCAATCCCTGTCCTGCAGCTCAGACAGGCTGCTCCAAGTGTGCTTTACACATCAATCAATTTAAAGGAATATAAAAATAGAAAGCCCAGGAGCTAGCAGCCTCCCCCAAGACAGCACCTCAAAAACAGTTTTCTAGGGGTCCTTCCAGCCCTCCACATTCCCAACACACCCACCTGGCCCTCCTGGTGGCTGTGAGAGCACCTGTCCCCTTCTGGTCAGCATAGTATAGTTTCATTCTGCAAAGGGGACTAGAAAAAGCTGTGTACACACAGAAAAAAGGAGGAAAAGTGAGATGAGTGAGACAATCCTTCCCCCACTGTGATGTGTATTTCCTTTGCTCCCCATGTCTCTAACGTTTCCTTCTGCAAATATTCAGTTGCACCATCACAAGGAACTTGCTCAGGCTCTGCCTGCACTGGCCCCATCAGTGCAGCTTGAAATTCAACCTTCAAAGAACAGCACCCTGAAATTTGAAGCCCAGGAGCCTCCTTTGAGAAAGTCTGCTCTCTGACCCACAGCACCCACACAGTGGGAAGGCTGAGATGGAGCTGCAGGCAGCAGTATGCTGTGACTGTCATCAATATTAATTATTTGGGGAGAATATGATTGATCTCACAAGGGCAATGAATTCATTCCTCCAGCTGAATGACAAACAAAAGGCAATACATGAGCTGCTGACATTTCCAAAGGCTATGAGGTGCAGAGACACAAGGAAATACTGCTATGAACTAAAGCCCTGCTGCAAAGGGCCAAAAATCTGAAAAGCCTCTGAAATTTTCATTTCTGAGCACCTTCAATGCCAGGAAGCAGATGCCTTCATATCCTCAAATCTGTGCTGACCCCAGCCCTGGGCTGGCTCATATCTTTGCATCGAGAGGAGGTAATCACTGAGTGTCTTTGGGAATTTGGTGTCATGGTTTGACACTGGCCCAGTGCCAGGCACCCACAAAAGCCACTCACTCACCTTCCCCTGCCACAGCTGGGCAGAGGAGAGAAAAAATTAATGAAGGGTTCATGAGTTTAGATAAGGACCAGGAAAAAACACTCCAAGGGCCAAACAGGCTCAGCTTAGAGGAACAAAGTGAATTTATTACTATCAGAGTCAGAAGAGGATAATGAGAAGTAAAAGTAAGCCCTTAAAACACCTTTTTTCCCCCAACCTCTCCTTCCTTCCCACCAACAGCACAGGGAGACCGGGCATGGAGGTTTTTGCGTCAGTTCATCACAAAGATTTTCTTCCACTGCTCAGGGAGAGGAGTCCATCCCCTGTGAGACTGTGGGGTCCCTCCCATGGGAGACAGCTCTCCAGGAACTTCTCCAGCGTGGGTCCAATCTCACGAGCAGCAGTCCTTCCGAAATTGCTGCAGCATGGGTCACTTTTCCACGGGGTGCAGCACACCAAGGACAGGCTGCTCCAGCCTGGAAGCAGGGCCCTCGCTCTCCACTGGATCTCCCACTGGAGCACAGCTTCCCCTGTGGATCCCTACAGGCTGTGGGTGGATCTCTGCATCCCCCATGTGGATCCCCATGGGCTGCAGGGCACAGCTGCTTCACCATGGTCTTACCATGGCCTGCAGAGGAACCTCGGCTCTGACACCTGGAGCACCTCCTGCCCCTCTTTCTCCACAGATCTTGGTGTCTCCATGTTGTTTTCCCTCACATGTTCTCACCTCCTCTTCTCTGACTGGAAGGAAAACTGTGCCTGCCCCACTTTATCTTGATCCTCTTCCCAAAAACGTTATCACAGAGGCACCACCAACCTCTCCAACTGGCCCGGCCTTGACCAGCAGCCTGCCCATCTTCAGAGCCACCAGGGACCGGCTCTGCTGGACATGGTGGAAGTCTCCAGCACCTTCCCACAGAAGCCACCTCTGTTCCCCCACCCATCACCACCAAAAACCAGGCTGTGCAAAACCAACACAGCTGGGTTGAGTTTCCCTCCTGCTCTTTGAAACCTCATCTCAGCAACTAGAGTCATTGCACCTGTCAGATAAGGGGGCAAAAAAATTTTTTAAGGGGGAAACACTACCCTCCTGGAGTATTCAACAGGGCTGAAATGCAAGGTACAGTTCCCCTGTGAAGTGGGAGAAAAGGAAGACACAGCAAACCTGGAGAAAAGTGTTTTTCTCTCTCTATGGCCTGTGGTCAGGAACTCTGTGTGTGTGAAACCTCCCAAGGAGACAGTTAAACAGGCTCCCGAAATTCCACATAGCAACATGAGAGAGGACAAGGAAGGAGGAGAAAGATAAATGCACTGAGACTGTGGCTATTTTTTTTCAAGAGAACGGATATGGGGGAATCCCATCCCAGTCCACAGGGATGTTATTCCAGTGGAGTTCTGAGTTCTGTCCTTCAGGCACCCCAACACATCAGCTCAAATGCAACCAGCACAATTTGCTAGAGCAACACATTTTGGGATCCAGCAGCACATCTGTGTTCATTCAGAAAGGCTAGGTGCCCTCAAGACCTCCAGAGCCTGCCAGCTGGGCAGCAACATCCTCCCACTACCCAGATCCATTCTTAAAAACAAGGGCTGGGAGCTAGCTGTGCTTGAAGGAAGAGGGGCTATTTCTCAACAGAACAAATTCAATTATTTGTATTACAGTGAATTTGCATGGCTCTTACTGACAAATTAAGTATTTTTTTACACATCTCAGAGCTTTGACTTAACAGATTGCTAATAAATTCATGTAGGTGGGGGCCTGGACGTTACTGTAGTGGGAGGGAAGTGAGGTTTTACTTTTTGCAACAGGACCAACCTGAGAAAAAATAACTAGGAATTTGTACTCCTTACACTGCCATTTACTAGGCTCCTGTAAGTCTCCAAGGCTGAAGGTTTCAAAAGTCTCTAGTTTAGGGTAGAAATATGAGTTTCTGGCTAATGTACATGTAATCTGTATGCACGCACCAATCACCAAATGCAGTGCATGAAAAACTGTAGTGCCTCCCTGATAATCAGGCATTAGAGAATTTACAAATGGCTGTCCCCTGAACTGAGTGCATTAGTAGAGGCTTCTGAAATCTGTGCCTCTGTTTCCCCAGCCACATTTAGAACAACCTCTCTCCATCTCACACCACAGCAGTGCATCTTAGTATCTCTAAAGTGCGTAGAGATGCTGAGATGAAAGATAACATATGAGTACAAAGTATGGATCAATTCCCTGAGCTCAACAGTCAGTGGAGATGATGGGGCAAAAAGTAGCACATACCCATCACAAAAAAATGGTGTTCTGAGCCTGTCTGAAATAGTAAGTATTTAAGAAACAGTTCCCTTGGAACAAGTAGTTTTGGGGCTGGTTAGTTGGGCACATGGAGCCTCAGCAGGCAGGAAACAGAGAAATGCAATACACTACTATGAAAAATAGATGCTCTTCCAGAAGGTCTTCAACCTGTTCCTATAGAATTTGGCAGTGGGATTTGAACTCATTTCAGATAGAGGTTGTTCACATTTTAGCAACCACCTAAAGAACATGACCAAACATAATTTGAAAAGCTATTTCCATTTCTGTTTGTTTTTATAAATTATTAAAAATCCAGCTTAAATAGTGCAAAGAAAACTTTAAATTGAGCAAGATAAGTTTTGGCATCCTTCCAAGTAGAAGGCAAACCCCAAAACGTTACTGCAAATCCAACAGATGGGAGTTATTTTTCACTCTTTAAAATTTCATTCCTTTACACTGAGATTAACTGTAATTAGCTCTTTATTTACATCTAAAACAAAAAGTAAAATGAGAAAAGAAAGGCAACTATAACCACAACTCACAGGCAGAAAAAGGCCAAAAAAAAAACCAACAAAAATTGCCTCCGAGAAGAAAACATGTATTTCTTGCCAAGCAGTATAATTGTTACAAATATACAGTTAAACAACTCCACAACATCCTGTCAGCACTAAAGATAAACATTTAAGTCACAGTTTTGCAAGCTTTTACACACAAATTGATCAAATATCTAAGAATCTTCCTCCAAACACTGGAAACATCTCACATTCCTCTAAATAAACAGCATCAGGCCTAAGAGAGGTAAGATACTCCACTACAGTTTTATTTCAGTAACTCAAGGGATTAAACAAAACTGTGAGGAAAACAAACAAACAAACAAACAAAAAAAGCAATCCCAGCAGCTTTCCCAGATAAAGAGAGAGGTATTAAAACTTACGTTGTTTTTTTTTTTTTCTCTTTTTTTAAAGCCCTCTTCTAATTCTGATAACACCTTGGCTCAGTAAAGCTGAAGAGGCTTCTTAAGTATTTGTGTAAGTGAATGATTCATGTCGTATCTTCGTGCTTCAGCTGCAGCAGAGCCAAGCTGTCCAGGGAGCTGCGTGGGGAGCCCAGCTCCATCCACGGCCAGGCTGCACCACGGAGCTCCCACCGGCACCCACAGAGCCCCCGAGCCACGGCCAAGGCAGCACTGCAAGGGTTAAACAGCAGAGCTCGCCCAGCCCTGCTGCTAGGAATGAAAGAGTGAGTGGGCCTGAAGGCAGCCCCAAATGCTTCCCAACCAACTAGAAACTCTGCCATGGCGGCTCAGGGATCCCAATGCCCGCCATGGGCGTGGGATGGGAGTGCGGGGCCATCCGGGCTCCTGCCAGGCAGAAATGGGTCTGAGGGCACCTAGGGAGAGCTGGGAAGAGCTGGTAGCTCCTGATGGCCCTGCTCTGAGTGGCATCTCCAAGCTAACAGCTCTCTGGCATCTTCCTAGTGATCCCAGGAGAAGGAGCCACCTACCACTTCCCTGATAGAGCCCAGGATCCATGGAAATCGCTTATTCTCTGCTGCAAATAGAGCATTTAAGTTAACAGTCTCTTTTTGTTAACACATGTAAATGTAAAAAGATTCCACGAGAATCAATATAACTTTTTCATCTAAATATCAAGTTGACACATAACAAGACAGAGTAGATGGAGGGAGAGAAGAAGGAGGGAGATCCAAACACCAGGGGCCTTGAATCCGCTTACTGCAAAAGTTAAGGACTGAAATAATTCTCATTTACTCATATGAGAAAGTGAAGCTCTCACTCTCTCACACTTTCTCCTTCTCTTTCCCTAACACTCTCAGATGCTTCTATCTTTAGCCAATTATCCTTGCTGTAATTTTCTTTAAAGTGTAATTGGATAATCATCCAGACTCAGGGGAAACCTGTGTCAGAGGAATTCCTAGGGATATATTCCCATTTGATGAAACTGAGAGCTGTTAAATTAACAAAGGACTGACTAAAGACACGATTCTTGACTTGTAGTGAGGATATTGTTTTACAAG